CACCATAAATTTCATTTTATGAACTGAATTTGCGTGAAGTAAATAGTGGTGCCTACTGTTTAAGTTTTAACATAAAACAGCAATGATCTTTGTCACCTAGTTGGACTATTATTTTTACTATTTATTTTTCTCTTCTCCTCAGGTTGTGCTTTTTTTTTCTAGGTATATATGTTTATATTTTATATCTTTGTCTTTATGTGTGTCAATATGAGAATGTACGTATAAATAGTTCCTTTTATTTATTTATTTTTTCATTACACCACAAGTATCGTAAGATTTTATTTTATCTTAGTGTCTGCATATTATTATATAAACCACTGTAGATATTATTACATTTTTTATGAAGTTAGTTTTCTATTAGATAGCCTATTGTTTATAAATTGTGTAGTTATGTATATATAAATATGTAATTTCTCTTCTTTTTTTTTTCATCACAATTAAGTAATTTTGAGAAGATTTTATGTCCATTTGTATATATATTTTATTTTTTACTGGTTACATACTTTTTAAATAATGTATATAATATTAAAATTTTTATAAGTTAGTTTTTGGCCAGATTTGTACTTTACTTTGTATTAACTCATCATTGTTATTCTAAAGGGACTTAGTCCCAGAATAAAGTTTAATTTTCTATTCTATTCTATTCTATTCTATATTAGCGTTACCAAGTATGGTATATATTTTCTATAAAGACTGAATTCACATCACATAGTTTGTTTCTATAAAATGGTAGGCAATCCTCAGATTATTCTTTAACAGACCTCAACAATTCTTGATTTAATCTATTATTAATCATGCATTTTTTTTTTAAAACAGTATATTGATTTAGGAAAAGAAGAACTTTTTTTATATTTCCGTATCACAGAAAATATGCTTCTATGGTTGAAGATTAAAGTGCTTTCAGATATTGTATCTGCTTTGTATTCAGTTAATGCGCATCTTCTAACCTTGAAGAAAAAGTACTTTTTATTTTGCAGTAACTTTTAAAATACATTTATAGATGATTACGGAGAGGCTAGTGCATAATAAGAAACATAAATAAGTATTAAAAGGAACTCATTATACAAACATATTAATAAAGCTATGCCCTGAAAAAGGAATTTGTTTGACAAAAACTGAAAATTTTCTTTCAAAACCAGAAACTTTTATCTAGGTTTTTTTACGTTTAAGCTGAACAACAAAATGCCATTTTGCAATTACTTCTTATCTTGTATGAAAATTTTAAGAATAAAGGTTATTTAAGTTTCAGTTTATTGTTTCTTAAACTTCGAGAGAATGTATTCAACAAACTTCCACAGCCACGAGGCATGAACCTGGATTGGCAACTCGGTACTATTTTTGCATACCTGATATCATTTCTGTACCTGCTCGAACCCAACCTATTTTTATTACTAAATTTATGGCAACTCGGGGACACAGTTGGGATTTCTTGGGATTGTCTGAAATCATAAACTACAGGTCCGAGTTTATGAACGAGCAGGTAACTGCGTTTCTGAAAAGTGTTCCTGGAGACAGGTGTGGCAAGAGGGAGTTGCGCCATCAGAATTTTTTGGGGGAAATTTAATTAAGTTTTTCAATTTTAAGAATACTTTTAAACCAGGAAAAAAAGGGAGGAAAAGGCACTCTGACGTTTACCTGTACATAAAAAAATATCTAAGAGCTCCGCATACTTGGAAGAGCGGCAGATATAACTTTATTTTAAGTACTCCCCTCTCTCATCACATACTCCCATTGCCTGATCACGATTTCCTACAACTCACAGCAGTTGTAATCAAAACCTTTTCCTCTCCTGTCACCATTGCATCAGCATATTGCCCTCCTAACCGATCCATATCCAATGTCCACTTCACCTCTCTCCTAAATTCCTTAGGAAACCACTTCATCCTGGGTGCAGACTTAAACGCCAAGCATCAACAATGGGGTTCAAGATCCACGAATTCTCGTGGTCGAACATTGCTGTCGGCACTCAATTCCCAATGTTTTACCCTCCTTCATCCCAATTCACCTACCTACCCTAACCGTAATACCGATATCCTCGATTTCTTTATCCACAAAGGTTTAGGTACCCTCCACCATTCCCTTGCCCATCTTGATGAGCTTTCCTTAGACCACAGCCCATTAATATTCCAAGTAACATTAGCTCCTATTCCTAAACCCTCTCCACCATCCTTCATCAGAGGCCCAGTTAACTGGAAACTCTTTCATCAAATCCTCTCCGATAAAATTGACCTCAGAGTAACCCTGAAAACCCCTGAAGACCTGGACAATGCAGTACATTCCTTCACTACCAAAATTCAAGAAGCAGTCTGGACTGCTTCCTCCCCTGATCACTCCTCAAAAATCCTTAAGAAACATAATTTACCTCAACACCTCCTTGACCTAATCCACATAAAACGCCGTGCCAGATTATTATGGCAACGTACCAGACATCCAGCCGACCGCCACTCTAACAATTATCACTGTAGAAAATTAAAACAAGCATTAGCCACCTTCAGATCCCAATCATTCAATTCCTACCTCACCACACTCTCTGCTCATGATAATTCCCTTTGGAATATCACCAGAAAAATCCTCAAATCCCATCATATTTCCCACCCTCTTCGACGAGGTGATGGCTCCTGGGCAGCATCTGATGAACATAGAGCCGAGGAGTTTGCCAAACACCTTTCCTATACTTGCGCTCCTCATCCGGAATCTCATCTTACCCACACAGTAAAAGTAGAAGAATTCCTTTCTTCACCTATCCCACTCTCCTTACCACCTAAAGCAGTTAATCCCTCTGAGGTCAAATACCTATTACGCAAAATCACTCCTCGTAAATCTCCTGGATACGTTCTTCTAACCTCGCAGATCCTACGACAACTACCATCCAAAGCCATCATATTTCTAACCTATATATACAATTGTATCCTCCGAACTACCCACTTCCCTCTCCTATGGAAACATTCCACCATCATCCTTTTCCTGAAACCAGGCAAGCCTCCCAATAATACATCATCCTATAGACCAATTAGCCTACTCCCAATTCTTTCAAAATTTTTTGAAAAGATCCTCCTGAAAAGAATCCTACCCATAATAGACTCCCGTAAAATCCCTACCCATCAATTCGGATTCCGTTCCCAACATTCTACCGTCCAACAAGGACTCCGAGTTGTTGACCACATATACTCAGCCCTTGAAAACAAGCAGTTTTGCTCGAGTGCATTTTTGGACATAGCGCAAGCTTTTGACCGGGTGTGGCACGCCGGACTGCTCTTCAAGCTCAAATCCCATCTACCACAGTCCTTATACCTAATACTCCAATCCTACCTCTCCGACCGCTCCTTTCGAGTCGCTGTGGTACAGAATTTTCCGACTGTTATTCAATTGAGGCTGGAGTTCCTCAAGGCAGCGTCTTGGGTCCCATCCTTTACATCATCTATACCGCTGACATTCCCGTCCATCCCGATACACTCCTGGCAACTTTCGCTGATGACACTGCGATCCTATCTTCTAACTCAGATCCTGAAATAACGTCCAGAAACCTGCAACGGCACCTATCCTTGATTGAACACTGGTGCAAGAAATGGCGCATCAAAGTCAATGAATCCAAATGTAAACATATTTTTTTTTTCTCACTATGATATTTTATTTTGTTCTTTTGTAGCTTTATATTATTTGAAGTTAGCTTATTTTTTTTATTTTTTTTTTTAATTTGTAAATATGGTGTGAATGTGCTCTCAGAATTCTATTAAAAATGTCCTTTATTCAGACAGATTGTAATATTTATCAATAAAAAAAAAAAATAAAAAAAAAAATTTTAAGTACTCAACTGGGCCATCATCTTCCCAGTTTTAGCATTGACTTCAATATTAGAACATTATTTATAAATTTTGCACATACAAAATAATAGATACTAACATACCCTAGTGGGAACTCTCACGGTAGGCAGGAATTATTATCCCTGATGCATTGGACATCCAGTACGCGATGTCAGCTAAACATGTTTAGTTATGATAATACAGTAGAATATTATCAAGATAGCCAATTGGTAAAATATTTCTGAAGTTTAATACTGCAGAAGTAAGAAATAGCTATCCCTGAACTTCTACTAACCTGTTATTTTGCTGGTTCGAAAACTATTGTTATGGTTTAGGAGTGCCTTGCTTTGTAGTTCACTCATTTACAAAGTAGTC